ATCTTTTGCCTTCCCTTTTAGTCATGTAAGTTATCTTGGTCCTTTAGACCATTTTGGTGTATTAAAGTTTAGATCTTGAAAGATTGTGATGTTATTATGGATAAAGTTGGAAACTTTATCCATCTAGACATCTTGTTGATTCAGAACTGAAAGTGGGAGACTTGGACTTAATGAATTAAGTTGAGAAAGATGCTTTTTTGGGTCCCTTTGAGACTTAAAGTCTAGATCTTTGTGGACCATCCTAATGGATAAAGTTGGAAACTTTATCCATTATGAAGCTATTAGGAATTAGATCTGATGATTTTAGCTTTGATCCTTATGGATTAAGCCTTTATTGAAGAAAACCCTTTCAGACTGAAGACCACGATGTGGCCAAGGAAGGCCATGATGTGGACATCAGCTGGAGTTGACTTTTTGACAAGTTTGACTTTTTGTCAAACTTGGGTATAATTGAGTATTTGACTAAGGTTTGGTCTCGGTTTTGCTGTAGGAATCTTAGGTTAGCTATTCCGTTGTTGAGGTAGCTGTTGGGCTTCTGTTGAATAGTTAGGTGGGTCTTCTCATTATAACTCTTGGGTCGAAGGCACCAATGACGGCCTACTGAATTGAGTATGTAGGATGCATGTGTCTATGTGACTATTGTTGGTATGATTGTATGCGTGGAGCCGATCTGGGCTCAGATTCACTACAAACCCGAGGATGATACAGACTCGATGGAGCCGATATGGGCTCGGAGTCATCATGGACTCGGGGTTTATATAGACCCGATACAACTATGTGTAGTTATATTTGTTGTATGTGGTATTTTGAATGGAAATCACTAAGCTTTGTGCTTACAGTTTATGTTTAAAATGTTTTCAGATACTTCTGGTTCAAAAGGAAGGGTCTAACTTGATCGCACTGCATCCCCTGAAGATTTATTCCGCATTGACTGTTTATAATTTTATGCTGATGTTTTAATAATACTTTTTGGGATAATGAATGAATCTTTTTGACATACTTAAAATGAAATTTTTACTCGGTATTTTTGGGATGTTATATCTTATTACTATTAACAAGATAAATTTTAAGGGTCGTCTCTAAGATTTGTTCATCGCCTTCCCCGCTTTTCCGTTGTGTTAACAAATTGTTGTAAATGCCATTAAACTTAAGGACGAATTTGTTCATCTCGTGAAACTTGCTAGTACATTGATCTTTAGTGTGATACTCTCAACGATCCACGACGTTAAGAAAACGCTCATTTATCTGTCGCCAAAAATGGTTATCTTTTTGCGCATTTCCTTTTTTGGAATCCTCCGAAATATTGACCCATGATTGCGCTAAAACCAACTATTCGTCTGGTTGCCATTGTTGAGACGTCATCTTCTCTTTTCGAACCACTGCTTTTGCTTTTCCGCATTTTTTGGGTTTGGATGATCCGGGTTGGGTTTCCCGAACAATTTCGGGATCAGATTGAGTTTATCGAACAAATTCTACTTCCGGTGGGTGAACGTATTCGGAGAGCGGGGAAAGATTCTGAAATGTGGTTGGGCTAAGAGGTTGCATCATGTAAAATTGTTCTGGTATTTGTTGATAGAAAAATTGTTGGGGTCGGGGCAAGATTTAAAACGGGTCCATTTGTGGTCGGTAAACTGACAACTCAATTGGACGAACACTTGCGTGTGATTTGCTACGAAAGGAAAATTGAGGTTTGTTTCGATTCATATTTAGAATACAAAGGTTTCAAAGGTTGTATAAAATGAAAGTGGTTTGTGTGTGAAAAATATAAAATAGATAGATTGTATTTATAGTGATTTTTTGGGAAAAAATTACGAAATTGTAGCCGTTGGCAATGGCTACTTCTCCATTTTCCATGCGGAAAATCCATACCACGAACAACACTTACCGTATTTTTTGGGGGGCTCGGTAGGGTGTTTACCGCATATCGCACGTTACCATGGTATGCGGTAAACGGTGCACCATGTGGTACTAATATGTTATATATTTGATTGGTCAATAATTATTCTAGTATTCCCAACCTTTTTGATGTTGTGGATTGCCCCGTTAAATTCGGTATGAGTAATATGCATGACTTATCGACTCTTTTAACCGTATATCCAAACAAACAATTTTCACAATATTTATCAGTTTAAAACCGATTGAAACTAGGATGGAAAATGAATAAAAACAAATAGGTAAAAAGTTGGTTTTTTTTACGTTAAATTAAGTTTTTTTTGGCTTAATTAAGATAAGTCAAAAAGATACGGTTATAGATTCAGTGCTTAGCTATTTAAAATCATTAATTCAACCAAAAAAAAAGTGAAGAGGAAAATATAGCCATACAAATAGTGCTTACAAATGGGATAATGACTTGAGAGGGTAACATACTTTTGCTATTGGTCACATTTGGTCACTAAATATTTTTTCGTGCTCTAATAGCCATTTAACTTGTTGATTCGTGTAAATTTTCCCCCTATGACCGATTATAGTCGGTTTCAATGGTTGAATCGGTCTGATGTGGCTTTTTTATCCTAGGTGGCCAATGAGGTGGCATGTAGGCCCCGATTTTGCCTCCCCTCCTCATTAAAGTTAAGAGTGAAGTCTCATTTGGTCCTTAAATTCGGTTAGGGCACGATGTCTCATTAACCCCCGATTTTGTCTACTTTAATCTTCAATCGGTCTCTATAATGGCTTCATCACAATGTCCCACTGATCAAAACTTCATTATAGTGGATTTCCACTACAATGGAACGTTTACACCCAACCCATTAGTATACTTTGATCCCGACAGACAATCAGTGCGAGATGTTGACTTCAGTGCTTTTGACTACGAGGAGTTCATGGAATTCCTTCAAAAGCTCACCAGAAGTAGAAGCAAAGACATCTACTTCTGCCTTCCACAAGAGTCTTTAAGTCAGGGAATTCATACACTGGTGAATGACGGTGATTACAAAGAATTTTTGGATTTGGCTTATGCAAATGAGAGGAGAATGAATGTGTATGTGGACCAATATAATGAACCAATCTTCGAATGGATTGAGGAAGAGGAAAATGAAGATCAAGACTACAGCTGTGAAGAGGATGAAGACTCAGTCTTGTTGGACACTTATTATGTTGACCATGAAGAAGATGATGTCGAATATCCATTCCCAGCCAACAAAACCATGGGTGACAGGTTCTTAAACAAACTTTGTCTACATACAGTAAATGTAGATGATCTATATGAAGATGCTGACTATGTTGAACTTCAATACCATGTGCATGATAATAAACAACCATGGAATCAGATGAAACCACTGTTAGGTATGCGATTTTCTAACCTTGTTGAGCTTAAAAACATGTTGAGCAACTATGCAGTTGCCAATGGATATGATCTTTGGTTTGAAAAAAATGACTCCCAAAGGTTGTTAGTTAAGTGTTGCAAAAAAAACAAGTCACCTACTTGTCCATTTAGACTTTGGGCCTCTTGGATGACTAAAGAGAAGACTTTTCAGATAAAATCTCTAGTTAGTGAACATAATTGTATCAGGGTGTTAAAGTTTGGATCCATAGTAACTTATAAGTGGTTAGGCAAACAGTTTATGAGTGAAATTATAGAGAAGCCAAAAATGAGTGTTAGGAAGATGAAATCTAAAGTTTCAACAACATTCAATATAAATGTGAGTGTGGGGCAATGCAGAAATGCAAAGAAATTTGCATTACAAGAAATTGAAGGAAGACTAATTGAACATTATGGGAGATTATGGTCATATGGTCATGAAATTCTGAGGACAAACCCTGGGTCTACTGTGAGGATGGATGTAGACATCATGCCAGATTCCACAACTTTGTTTTCTAAATACTATGTCTGCTTTAAAGCTGTAAGTGATGGTTGGAAGGAAGGGTGCAGGCCTGTGATTGGCCTTGATGGTTGCTTCTTAAAGGGTATTGTTAGGGGAGAAGTTTTTTCAGCTGTAAGGAGGGATGCAAACAACCACATCTACCCTATAGCATGGGCTGTAGTTGGGGTTGAGAACAAGGCCACATGGAAGTGGTTCATAGATCTCCTCATGGATGGCATTGATGGTGGTCTTGGTGCAAGCATTACCCTTCTTTCTGATGGACACAAGGTGAGCATTGGTTAATTTTTTTACATTTGTTTTTATGCATGTTTCACTAATTTTGTTGTTGTTATTTGTAGGGGTTGCTAGAAGCAGTAAAAGAAAGGTGTCCAGAAGCTGAACACAGACAATATGCCAGACACATTGTGGCTAATTTTGGTAAAAGGTTTACTGGTCAACATTTCAGGAAGCTTTTTTGGAGGGCTGTCAAAGATAGTACTGAACAGAAGTTCAAACATGTTATGGAAAAGATCAAATTTGTTGATAGTCAAGCATATGACTACCTTATAGACAGAGATCCTACTACCTGGTCTAAGGCATTTTTTAAAGAGGGAAGAGATTGCGATGAAGTTGAGAATGGGGTGAGTGAGAGTTTCAATTCTGCTATTAGGCATGCTAGAAGGAAACCAATCATCACTATGCTATAGGAGATTAGGATATTTGTGATGGAGAGGATATACAGTCAAAGAGTAGAAGGAAATGAATGAGATTTAACTATCTGTCCAAGTATTAGTAAGCTTATATAAGATTTGAAGGTTAAACAGAGGTAACATGTAGTTTTACAATTCAACAAATGGTTTTTATTAGTTTGTGTTATTAGTTATTAATTTGTAGTCATTATTGCCTTATACAGATTGTGGGGGGTTACTCCTTGTGGTTATCAAAAGTATGAAGTTAGGTTCAATGATGCAGCATATGGAGTGGATCTAATTACAAAGACTTGTACATGTAGAATATGGAGTGAAATAAGAAGAAGTTTCTTTTCAATCATCCTTTTCTCTCAAATCAATCTTTTGAACATGAACATATACTTCTTTGTGATTCCATTCCAAAATTACTACATTGTGATTCCAATCAAAAATACTTCTTTCTAATTCCAGTCAAAATTACTTCTTTGTGATTCCACTCAAGTCAAAATTACTAGTTTGTGATTCCATTCCAGTGAAAATTACTAGTTTGTGATTCCATTCTAGTCAAAATTACTTCATTCCATTCCAACAAGAAGTTAAGATAATGCCTTCATTCCATTCAAACAACATATTTCAATACATCATTTCATCATATACACGATGATCAAAAAAAGAAATCCTATGGTAAACTTATATATTTTTTCCTTCATTGCAATGGCATCAGAGTACTTTTCCTTCTTCATTTGTTCCATGTCTTCCTTCACCTTCTCTACTTCAGTCTTCAATGCTACTATTTCAGCTTCCATTCCCTCCACCACTTCCATTACAGGTTCTACATCCAACCATTTCCAATATTTGCATTTACCCTTCAACACAAATAACTCATAATGAGATTTCAAATTAGGAAAAAAGAATCAGAAAAGGGGGAAGATTCAAGTGAAATAGCTTACCTCATTGCATACCATGAAACGCCTCCCTGGATTCTTTGGTGTTGTTGACGTTAGAATACGTGCAGGGAACCCACAATCACAAGTTTTTGGATCGTTCACTGTTGATTTCTTGCTTGATCGATTGAGGGACGATGAGAAGCTGTAGGAGGAAGCCATCGGGGTATTAGGGCACAATAAAGGAACCACATACACCCCTCTTTTAATAACATTAGCCCAACATGCCACGTAGGATCAAACTGACACGTAGGATCGGTCAATCCATTGCAACCGGAAAAAAGCAGTTGCAGGGGGAAATTTTACACAAATCAACAAGTTAAATGGCTATTAGAGCACAGAAAAAAGTTTAGTGACCACATGTGACCAATAGCAAAAATATGTTACCCTCTCAATTCATTATCCCGCTTACAAATATATAAAGGTTTTTTTTTCATCTACATCAAACCAAGTTTTTTTGGCTTGACCTATTAAGTCATTAAGTCATCATGTCATGATAAGTCAAAAAGACAACCAAATATAGCTGTTGAGAGTCGGTGGTTGGCTATTTAAACTCATTAATTCAACAAAAAAGAAGAGGCAAATATAGATGTCTAAATATTGCTTACAGCTCCTACTCAAAGTTAGAGAGCGATGTTATCAGGTCCCCCAACCCCTTCCTCTCACGGATCTGGCACACAAACGTATTAGCCTATGAACCATCTTCCAGTGGGTCTGAATCCATCGTATCCCAATAACTAAATATACATTGTAGTTGTAGTTGTGGGAAAACCTGCCCTGAAGCAGAAGCCTTCAAATCACCAGAAAGTCCAAACGACTCCACCACCGAAAGATGTGCTTTCATGTCATACAACCGGGTCTCCGGCCTCAACCTCTTTTCACTCTCATATCCACGCTTCTGTTTCATCACACTTTCGATCCCACTAATAGCCTCTTTAGGCACTGCTTGGATTTCCACCCAATAAACTGGTTCCACCAACCTTGGTTCTGCGCTCAGTTGAGATGCGTACATCACACGCCGGGCAGTTGGGATCACCTGTGCGCCACCACGGTGGTTTGCATCAGCATGAACCACCGCATCACAGACTTCAAAACAAATACTCCTCATGTTCTCTTCTGCTAAAGCACCTACCTCTGAAACCCACTGGAAACCAGCAACAACAAAATCCTTTATTTCGTTCAAATACTCAACTCCCTTACACCTATCCACAACCATGTTTGGCCCGGTTCCTTCAGGACCGAAACACCAGATCTTCTTCACGAGATTTTTGTCATAATCGAATTCTTCACACATAATTTTTCCATGGACTTCCGGATCGTCACACGCATCAATTCGACCAACCTCTATGGCGTCAGCAATTCTGATGTCCATGGGTGTAGCTCTCATGTAGAGATTGTTATGTCCGTTTGGAGACTTACTCATAACTGCACGCGAATATTTGTTTGAAACTGTTTCGCCGAAAGAAACAAACGGACCGGACACGTTGATTTCCACTCCACCCATGAAATCATCCTGCAAATCCTTCAAACAGGTTTCCAAATGCAACTCACCCAAAGCACCAATAATATGTTCACCAGACTCTTCCCCTGTCCAAACAACCATAGAATCGGATTGGGCTAGAAGCCTCAAACCGTCAAGCAAGTGGGGTAGATCGGATTCGACCTTACTCTGGACCGTAACATGAACAACTTGGACTGCAGAAAACTTCATGGCACGAATTGGACGCGCCTCGGTTTCTTTTTCATTTGTTAGCGTTACACTTTTGTTGATGGATTGATCCAAACCGAACAACGCAACTATGTTTCCACATGGGACCTCATCATCGATTTCTTGTGTTTTCCCTATCCAAATAACGGTTTTCTCAACCGTTTTTAGAAACAAATCTTTTTTTTCACCCGGGATATATTGCGGACCCATGATCCGGACTTTCAAACCAGTTCAAATCCGACCCGAGAAAACCCGACCAAAAGCAAAGAATCTCCTCTTGTCATTGGATGCAGGAATCATCTTGGATACATATAGCATGAGAGGGCCATCGGGGTCACAGTTTCTGATGGCATTTGCGTATTCATCATCTAAATCCCCTTTGTAAAGAATGTCCACACGGTATGTTTGAGCAATGTGGGGTGAAGGCAGATGAAAGATGATCATTTCAAGTAACTCATCAGCAGCTGGAAGCCATTTCTTCATGACACATATCACCAATGCCTCACCCATCAACTCTTTCTCTTCATAATTCAAGGTGACACCGAGTTTAGTCAGCATAGGGGCCATAACAGATCCTTCTTGTCATTCATACAAGTATCAATTATCTGCTTAATGGGTTCATAACAAAATTGAACAAACCCACGTTTGCAAGTCGGAGACCAGGTACTCTTTGTGGTCCATTTTTTGATTACCGGGTCATAATAGTTTTCACCCCAAAGCCTCTCCATCATCTTTGACTCGTCAACATGGAATTTACTCGCGTACTTTTTCGCAAAACTTCTCAGAGTAAATCCCCAGCCATGGAGCCCACATGAAAAAGCAACAACACCTTTTTCGGGGTACAACTCGATATCAATCGTATCTGTATAAGGAGCCATGATGCCATTTACTTCTTCAATAACACTTTTGAGAGTTTGATACAGTTTTTCACCATCAACTTGGCCTCCAAGGAAAACGCGATCCATTTTATTAATGGTTAACATGGGTCGGACTCTTTCAGCAATTGCTCGGTGAAGGACGCTTTCGGTCATTTTATAAGGTAAGTTCTTCAGCTGTAAACTTCACCAGGTCATTTTATAAGGTAAGCTATCTTGGTAACAACGTAAGAAAAAGTAAAAAGAAATTGATGTTGATAATGATTGTTACCATTTTGCCTAGTTTTTGTTGGTGTGTAGTTGGAATGCTTCTATCAAAAATCCTGCAAGAAAATAGCAAACAGTGAATTAGATTCTTTACCTTAGACATATAATCCATCAAAATTGTACTCAATAAGTAATGTTGACACATAAATACAAACATGTCTAAACCCATTAAGCCATTTTGTCAAGCATGTCTATGAATGCTAAACAACTATTTATAGTTTCTAGGAAATGACTCAGAGATATGAAGGACATGATCAGATAAGTGCTTTAACAGAGAAATGAATTAATGTAGAACAATCTAAAATGGTTATAAGATATTGTGACTAAATCAACCTTCATCTGCCGTTATATAATAAGCATGGCTGTACTACCTTACCTTCTAGAAAGAATGAGCTCAAATACACATCATGCCTTTCAAGCAATTCTTCCTGAGTTATATTTTGAAACTTTTTGCCTCAAACCTAGGGCTTCAAATACACAAGAGATAATCCAACGTGTTACTAATTAACAACAACGTTTTTAGTTTAGAAACATCAATCATATGAATATAAAACCTAACTATAGAAAAAAAGGTGATGATTATAGCAGTTAATTCAGAAACGATTGAAGGAAACAAATAAGAATGGCGAGATTGATTTCTTTGTGATCAAACAAAGGCTCCTCAAGGTTCAAACTCAAACAATCAGAATCTTCTCATTTAATTTCGTGAAAATTTTTGACGTGATATAACTATACTTCATCAATCCTGATCCATCGTCATCAAATTTCATGCAGTGATAAATGATAATCATCATCTCCCTATGTCATCAGCGATGAATCAGGGAGCTTGAAAAAAAAAAAAAAAAAAAAAAAAAAAAAAAAAAACATTAGGTAATAGAATAACGCCCCTTCAATTTCGATAAAAAATTGTCATTGAAGTGAAATTACTGGAGAATCCGCAAGATTTTGTAGGTGCTTGATGTGAATTATTGCTTGATTTTTGTTTACGCTTGTTTGAGACGTAGAGAACCATCTACTGTAGTAGAGCTAAAATGGTGAAGAGTTTGAGTGAAGTTTGGTATGCATGAATGAAGCAAGAATGAAAAAGCATCGTTCCACTCCCTTGGATTTATGTTGTTCGGTTACCATCCGGGATTAGCATTCTCTCAAATCCCGTTTTTTTCATTTTTGTTTTAAACCATTAAAGATGTGTTTGTTTGTTTGTTTGTTTGTTTTTTTTTTTTTTTTTTTTTTGATTTATTTTTTTATATTTTTTTTTGAGTATTTATGTATCTTGGTGAAAACACATTTACATTGTGCAATCTTACAAATTGTTTGTTTTTTTAAAAATTACAAAAGTTAAAACATCTATATGTCGTCTTCTCTAAAAAGACATAGATCAAAGTTTATGGACGGAAATATATTTTCCGCAGATATTTTTTAGACAATAAATAATGATTAAATTTTTTTATATATAATTAAAGATGTTTTACTTTTTTTTTCCTTTTATATTTTTTGAAAGGCTATATTTTAATTGACTTTTATATAAAATAATATTTTTTTATGATCCAAATATAGAATAGTATAAGAAAATCTATAGAAAAGTCTTAAATTTTTGGGAAAAAGGTTTTAATAGAGTCCTAAAAAAAAATTTAACAGTAAAGTCCTATTATTTTGAGAAAATCATATAATCTGTCATTTGTTGTTCAAATATAATCAGGTCTTTTCTGTTTAAAAAAAACTTTTAGGATTTTATTGAAACTTTTCTCAAAAGTTTGGGATTTTTCTTTAGATTTCTCAATAGTATAAACAAGAAACAGTAACTTATTGACATTGTACGAATCAAACATCTATTTATCATATAATGTGTGTAAATATCATAAAACCATAATATATTATATGTCAATTTAAAAAAAAAAGAGACTATATTAATTTTGTGCAAATTAAAAAAACAATATCTTTTCTAAAATTGTTGAATTGCCTTTTTAGGGGTTTTTCAATAAGATTTATATATTAGATTGTTTTTTTTGTATCTTGCTTTTAATATAAGAGGTTTTGAATTTGTAAAAAGTTATATGGAGATTATAATAGACACAAATTACTCTAGTGTTTTTTTGGTAATTATAAAATAATTCTTTTGTTTCTGAAATTCAAAAATATCACTATATTGAAGATGAGGACATCAGTTTTGTTGGAGTGATGAGTTATTTACTTAATATGAACAACCCAATGTGTTATTTTGAAATATATGGAATGAATATTATTTTTTAAAAAAATTGTTATTATGGTTGTATGAATTATATTTAAGTGTTGTAAAATTAGAATTATTTACATTTGAATGTTGAAAAAATCTTTTAAGTTTAAAAATCAATTTATATATATTTCAGTTTATTTTAGCATCCTGCGGACACTAAAAAACAAACAGTCTTTTTATTCCTGACTGTAGACATTTGGTCCACATCTTCTCTGCAGATGTGCTTCACAGACTACAGACATTTTACTTTTTAAAAAACAAATAACACCTAACATACACTTTCTAAATTCTACTCCTTCTAAACTATTATTCTTGTCCACCGCGGGACTTGAACCCTCAACCCCTTAAGAAATAACATTTTTTCAACACCCTGAACCGCATCTAGAGAATGTTTGTGGCGCGTTCTCTACGTGCATAAAAAATACATGCATAAAAAACAGAATAAAGCATAAAGTTAACTTTATATCAAATAATCCCACAAAAAGGATCGAATAATTAATGGCTAAATAATCTAAAGCAATATTTTGTATCACCAAAGGGGAGTCTCTTGTTTGTTCAATTAGTTTAGTAAAATTTGAACGGACACACCATAATTTGAAGAAACTAACTCCATTTTCGATATTCATATCTTTGAGTCTGATACTATCATTACCTACCTTGTACCTAGCATTAAAGGTTCATTGAGGTAAAATATAATGACTTAGGAGTGTTTCAACATGCCTCTTCTTCATCACATGTAGACTATTATTGCATAAAATTCCATATGACACATACTTAGCACACAAACATGTGAAGCTCAAAGAACAAAATGTAACAATGTGCCAATCTGTTTTATCAATATCGAGTTGCCCAACTCAATATTTGCCTTCTTCTGTACTTTTTCTTAGAGTCTCATGAGTTAAATTATTAATAGCTTCTGTCCATTCCTTTTTGAAAATATAAATAACTTTCTGGTATAACACTCACCTACTTTTGCTTCGATTAGATGTACTAAGGAAAGAACCAGCCTCGATTTTATAGTCTTGAAATCTTCATCTTCTTTGGCGACCCTTCATGACGCAACTGCTTTGTCATATTGTACTACAAGTTCATTCAAAATGGTTATTAAGTTAACAAATCCATCAAAAAAATGAATTAATACTCTCACTCCATCCACTTGTGGTCATACAAGCCAAGAAAATATCCCCCACGTAAGCTTTAGCCCAATGTATTCATTGGTTATACATGCCACTTATCCAATAATTACTTTCTAGTTTATACTTACCACATATAACTTCCCATGTGGATTCAAATTCTTTAATGGTGTCACTTTCTACCCATTGTCTATATGATTCTTGAAAATCACCATAGTGGGAAACATACGGTCAAAGGTGTTCCGGTTCATGCTTCTTGATATGTTATGCACAAAAACGATGTCGAGTGTTTGGAAACACTCTTTTTTCATTGCATTGCCCATAGATGTTTCTTGATCAATGATAAGTGCCTTTAGATACTTGTTAAACATACATTTGAGGAAATACTCAAATAACCATTCAAATGTTTCTTCATTTTACGTTTTCTAGTAATGTCCCACAATAAAGTATAGACTGCCCATGATGATTCACCCCAATAAAGGGAAAAAAATCATCTTGAATTTGTTTGTTATATAAATGACATAAAAAACAACATCTCCAAATTTCTTATAGGCGTCTCTTGATCTTCCATTAGCCCAAAAAATATTTTTAGGACAACAATCATCATACAATCCAAGAAAATATATTGGTCATTATCTACTAATGATTTATCTTGAAAATGTTTTATAAGTCCATAAAACTCATTTCCTGTATGTTGTTTTTGTTGCTCAGATAAGACATCAACACATTGCTTTGAAGTAACATCAGCTTCATTTGAGGTTTTCATTGCATTAATAGCTTTTTTTAACTAACAAGGTTTCAACCCTGGTTGTCCAAGTTCCATTATAAGAGATTTACATTCCATTAAACGATGGAACTTGCTATGAGACCGATGCTTCATCACCTTCGTTGGTGTCATGCTCAATTCGTGATTGTGCGTGTCATTAAATGCGTCCACCAACCATTTCCTATCCTTCTGTCTTGTAATTAGAAGCATTGTGTGGCATTCGGTTCTAACATCTATACAACGTTTTTTTTCTCATTTCCACTTGAAGCATTTTTTCCAACTATTTGAAACCTTTTTTGTTGTATACATATGTCTTCCGATAAGGCTCATTTGTTATCGTGTTTCTAAATATATCATCTTTACGTATACCAAAGCCATGTAAAAACAAATAATCGGTATATGCATCATTAGGTATATCGAAAACCTTTCCCAATATACTTTCATCATTAACTTCATGTTTGTCACATTCAATGTTCACATCGACATCTTGATTTTTTTTTCAAATTCATATGATGCTTCCATGAAATTATTTGTGTCAATATCTTAAGTTATATGTAGTTCAATAGTTTGATTAGTTGCTTCAGTTTCAAACATTATGGTCTGCTAAAAACCACGATCCATGTTTCCAAATAAAAGATTAACACCATTTTGTTTACTATTAGTTAGAAAAATCAAAACCACCAACAATGTTGAGCTCTAAAAAGCAACAATGCAACTATAAAATCTCGAAACAAATAAGACTAAACAACCAATTCCGAACTCTGGAAAAACAATCTCAAAGATTAAAATTCAGAAAAATTGAAAAACGAAATCAATGTCTACTATTTAAGTTTTAGAAAAATATTTGGAAGTGTTCTTAACCAAAAAACAAAGAATTTGTAGTTTTTGAAGGAGGTCAATTTCATGAACCCATTTCTTTAATGCGGTTTCTTGAACGAATCTTGTGAAATCTAATTTCTTGAAGCTTTTTTTAGTGAAATCTGTGAAATTTGATTTCTTGAATTAGAAGCCAAATGAAAAAAATCCAATTCTTGAACCTTTTTTTGTTCCGTGATTTATGAGGAATCCGATTCAAGAAGCAGCCGTATAACAAACTTTTTTTTTCAAAACAATGATGATCACAGAAGCAATCGAAAATCAAGAAGCAATCGAAAATCAAGGAAGATAGGATCAATATTTTCATAAAAATAAGGAAATAAATTGGAACGTAGCATTTTTTCTAGTAAATTATATTTTTTTTTCAGCAAATTAAATCACTAATCAAAACTACAACTACGTACTCATTTTATGATGGCATGGACTGAACTCAAAACAAAACCAAACCAAATAGTCTAATTTACTCTTAATTTAAAAATAATAATAATAATAATAAGACTATGACATCCTATACTTTTTTAATATTTCTGTTTTTAACGCTAACGCCGTTTCAAGCTCAATTCTCGATAGATGATTGGCGCACATTGTCAACACTTTTAAATCTTCCGTTCGTTGCTTTTCTTCACGTGCTTTTTCCTTTTTACGTAATTTTTCTTTTTTGTACTCCATATACACATTAAAATTCGAATTAAAAACATGAAACTCCTCCGCCATTTTTTCTAAATAGGTGTTGTATCCCGTTAAACCAACCGAAGAAGCTTTCTTTTTTGTTTTTTCTTCAATTTCATCCTCGTTGAGGTCAAATCCAACACAAGCATCCGAAGATATTGTATAGTTTAAGTCGGATGTTTTTGATTGTTTTGTAGCACCACTTGTTTTTAAATTTTCTTTCCAATTTGACTCAACATTCATAGGCAGTTCATCCTCAGGCTCAGGCTCGGAGTTAGGCTTGGACGCGGGTTGGGGCTGAGGTGGACCCTGTTCAGAAGCTACAGCCATTGATATAGATATTTTGCGTAGACTTTGTTTAGATTCTTTAGTTTTGGCGGAAATGACTAAATTGCCATCGAGATTTGGTGTGCGGACTTGGGGTTGAAGTTGTTTCCTAGCCAAATGACCGCGAATGTAAGCTTGAAGAAGTATGATGCCGTTGAGGGACAAAAATGTCCTACGAGCCTTCACATGTAGTTTATTCACGTTAGTATAGATGGAATGGAATGAACAAGATAATGGGTTTAAAGAAATTGTTTTTTTAGAATATTTCATTCCATTCCCTATTTGACTACTGTATATCACATAACTAGGAAACAAATTGAAATTATTATAAAATAAAGAAGCATTTTCCTTTCACAATAACCAAAAAATATTACCGAATAGCCCCTGACAGCTGCCTGTGCTTTGATAGCAGCTTGCTCTAGTCTGATGAACTCATCTTCATTTTCAGTATTTAGCCCAGTGGTACTTCTTGCAACTTCACTTGTACTATTCGTTAGGTTCACACTGGAAGTCTTCGCTAACTCTGTATGTTCTTCACTGGCATGCGTAACAAGAGGAACTGAGCTTGAAATCATGGAATTATTAACAAAATCGTTTGATGTTGCTTTAGCAGTAATGGAGGTCTTGTTTCCTAAAGTAGTATCCTTCAACAATGAAGAAATAAAGATCAAATTGATTGTTCATCAATCACTTAAAAGAATTTTAAGGCATATAAGTGATGGGTGTAAACAACGTTTTCTTACTTGATAGAGATTAGATTTCGATGATCTTTTCCCTAAAAGTATAGTCTGGATCCACTTTCCTTGAGACTTTCTCATTGTTGACAAATGGTGGTTGGAACTGGTGTAACCTTCAAATTTATGCATAATTTAGGAAGAAGCTACGTACTTTCTTATACTGTAGGAATTCACTTTGGGTTTCGTAAATTGGAAACTGGAGGAGTTATATGCAAACATCCATGGTGATTAAGGAATTAGGAACTTTGAGAAGGTCGATCAGTGAAAACAAAAAAGGAAAATCACTGAACATTTGGATAACATCATAACATGTTAACGATTCATATAAGACATCTTATAAAAATCGAAAAACCAAAAACAAACATCACACAAGTTTCTAAAATCCGTCGAAAACTTCTTTATCGAAAACAAACATTACGTTTTTGAACACAAAGTAATACAGATCTGCAAATGTACCTGAAATCAGATAAACTCTCAGAATAAAAACCCTAGCTCGCCAATCGTGAAAAAAAAACACACAAAAAATCAATGAGAAAAATGAGCAAGCGGATATATAACGGGTCGAAACTCGAAAGTTCAAATCAAAGGTGATTTAAAATAATAATAATAAATAAATAAATAAACTTTTTTATTTAAAAACTAGAGAAGGATCCGTGTTGCGGGGGTTAGAAGGTATTCCATTGTAAAACATGATATTGATTAAGGTGTTGCGGGGGTTAGAAGGTATTCCATTGTAAAACATGATATTGATTGAGGGGGTGTTTGGCAAAAAAACTTATTGCTTATTAGCTTATAACTTATTAGCTTATTAGCTTATAAGTTAATAAGGAAGTAGAAGGTAACTTATGAAAAAATGACTTATTACAGGTTCCCCACCGGAATAAGTTATTTTCATCCAAACACTTTTTTAACTTATAGTGGTGTGGAAACTAATAAGTTGTTTTAAAAAGCTTAGCCAAACACCCCCTAAGTAAATAAAATATATTGTTAAATAGGGTTAGTATATGGGACAATTTAATATATTATTTATAATCTTGTAACAGAATAATAAATAATAATAATAATAATAATAAAACAAACTCACCTTTTCAAGAAAAGAAAGGAAAAGATCAGCGAAATAGCTTATGTTAACCTTTCTTGACTTGTTAGATTTAATCCTATTTATGCTCAAACTACATGCGTCTTCAATGTGTTTTTCGGCAACCGCTCTCACACCTTATTACTATTAAAATTTTGGTCTTAAGTCACATAAAGATGAAAGATAAAATATGGGTTTATTTTTTAAAATATAGAGCAAACTGTGGACAATAGCAATAGTGAAGTAGGTTGCTATTTCCTGCAATTTGCCCTTCAAATATATGTTAAAAGTTAAAGTCGGTGCACAATATATGTTAAAAGTTAAAGTCGGTTCACAAGTCTGAAATGAAAAACAAATATGTAAAAGAAGTGAAATGAATGCTACAAAAATAAATCTGAAAAAGTTCTTGTTTACAATTGTACAACAAAATAGAAAAAAAAACATACAATTAAAACTAAATGACAAAAATGCCCATCAATGCATTTGTCCAAAATAATAGTTTAGACTTCATTTGACCAGTCAAATTGTTGATGGAAATAGCACAAGAGATATTGTCCTTGCTACTATCACATTTCAAGATTGGGACTCTTGCATGTGAAATATATTTTATCCCATGAAATCCACCTGTAAAATAAAAGCAACATCATCTATATCATGAAATTTGGCTAAAACATATTATTAAAAAGCGAAAAAAAACATACATTTTCTTTTTAGAGCTTTTAATACATCTAATATTAAAGTTTGCTCTGTAATGGTAATAGATGTTAAGTTGATTAGATTTTATGGTTAAAAAAGTATGTTGAATGGATTGGTAAAATGGTGAAAGTAACTTGAAAATATAAAACAAAAGCAAACCTGTTGAGTTGAGTGGTTAGTTGTAAAACAATATTTTTCTGCAAAGTGTTATTGTAACATCCCCTGGCACGTATCACAATATTGTCCGTTTTGGGCTCCTGGCGCGAAACTTCCCGGGGGTCACCCATCCCAGGATTGATATAGCATGAGCACGCTTAACTGAAAAGTTCTTATGGGATCTTCTGTCCTCACGGCTTTAAAACGCGTTGTGACAAGAAAGGTATCTACACCCTTATAAGGAAATGTTTCGTTCTCCTTCCAAGCCGATGCGGGATCAGGTGCAACCCACCTTCACCCCCCACTATAGGGTTTGATGTCCCCGTCGAACATATCGACCCGTGCCCTAACTCTGATACCATTTGTAGCATCCCCTTGTAGTACATATCACAATATTGTCCGCTTTGGGCTCCCGTCGCGAAAACTTCCCAGGGGGTCACCCATCCCTGGATTGCTCTTGCCCGAGCACGCTTAACTGCAGAGTTCTTATGGGAACTGCTGCCCTCATGGCTTTAAAACACGTTGTGACAAGGAAGGTATCCACACCCTTATAAGGAAATGCTTTGTTCTCTTTCCAAGCCGATGTGGGATCAGGTGCAACCCACCTTAATTGTAACGTCCGTGTTTCGAGGCTAAGCATTTATGCGCTGATGTAATAGTTATGGTCAACAAATATAACTCATTTTGAAGTAATAAAAAGGAATTAATCGAGTATTATGTGAATTATGTGAATTTATGTGCTTTATGCTTGTTTATTATGATATAATAAATCAAGAATGAAAACAAGGGCCAAAAATAAAAATATAGATAGACCTGATATCTATGAAGAAAGTTGTAGTGGTTGTGACAAGGATTCCGGAGATATGAAGAACGCCGAAATTCGAGTTATAACGAAGAAGTTATGGCATGTCGAAGTTTCGCGACAGAACCGACACGACACTGGGTGACGTAAATAGTGAATTTACAATAGACTGATTTTTTAGCCTTAGCAATCTAAACGAAAGTCGTAGTGTTCGTTAAACCGAGAGCATGCATAAAAAGAACGCCCAAATCTGACTTCGTATGAAGAAGTTATGGTTTTTCTAAGATTTGGCATAACAGTGCACAGCCCGGAATTCGAATTTTAGATCGAGCGGTTTTTTGCCAACGCAACCTAAATGAGATTTGAAGATCTCATTATTGTAGCGCAACAGTAAAAAGACAGACGAAAACGGACATTGGATGAAGAAGTTATGAATTTTTAATAGACTTTTCATGTCCTGACCTATTAAAAATATAACTTTAAAAATAGAGTCAAAATTAGCTGACGGAATCTAAATGAAAGTTGTAGAGTACGTCTCTACCTACACATGGATATAAAGAACGTCGAAAACAACGCTCGTATGCGAAAGTTACGAATTATAGAAGTTGGAGGTGTAAATTGCGAAGTTGGATGCGAGGCTACGCCCTGCGTAGACCTTCGGACGCGTCGCGTACGAGTACGCCCCGCGTTGACCGAAGTACGCTCATCGATCTCTTTTCTTCTGTGGTCCGAAGCCAGCCACGTCGCTCCACCGAAACTCTGACGCCTGCCCCTTACGCGCAGCATACCACCGAGGGTACGCCCAGCGTACTCCGAGGCCTCGCGCCTATATAAGGGTGCGAGGTGCAACCCCATTTTTCACACTTTTTCAACTCTCTTTCACTCTCTACTCTCTCTCTAGCCTTCCAAAACACCCCCAAAGCCTAGGGAACCTCCCTAACACTATAGGAAGGCCTCGGAGAATCCGAAGGCTCCAAGAAAAAGAGTTTTTCGGTTTAAAACTCTGCCCGCGCGGAGCCCGGTTTTCAAGCAAACTTCCCGGTTTCGTCGAAGGAAATTATTTTAAGAAGCAAAGTGTTGTCCAAGTCACTCCTTATCAGGTGAGTGCATAGTCACTTTCATCTTACACATAGATATGAAGTATTTTATATAAATTGCGTGCTATGTGTATATTTACTTGAGATCTGTGCTAGATGAAAGATTTAAACTTCTTTGTTTTTCAGATCTAAACCGTATATTTATTTTGTTTTCTGATCTGAACCTTTTCTTCAGATCTAGGCTGTAGATGTATTTTGTTTTCAGATCTGAACATTTTTCTTCAGATCAAGGCTGTAGATGTATTATGTTTTCAGATCTGAACCTTTTTCGTCAAATCTAGGCTGTAGATGTATTTTGTTTCCAGATCTGATCCTTTTTTCGTCACATCTAGGCTGTAGATGTATTTTGTTTCCAGATCTGAACCTTTTTCTTCAGATCTAAGTTGTAGATGCATTTTGTTTCCAGATCTGAACCCTTTTCTTCAGATCTAGGCTGTAGATGTATTTTGTTTTCAGATCTGAACCTTTTTCTTCAGATCAAGGCTGTAGATGTATTTTGTTTCCAGATCTGAACCTTTTCTTCAGATCTAAAAGTATATATGTATTTTATATCTATAAATACGTTGGGTAGAACATGGGTAGATAAATGATGAGGTATGAAAGATGATATAGATGAATATTGGTAGCTGCACCACATCATATAGATGTTTTTCGAACTACGATGCACTCTAAACATCCTAGCAGCTGCGCAAAACTGATAACATCGGCAGTTGCGCCTAATAGAGAACATCATAATCCTGCCAGCTGCGCCAGATAAATGATATTGGCAGTTGCGCCTAAGTGATAACAACACAATCCTGGCAGCTGCGCCTAAAGGATAATATTGGCAGCTGTGCCTAATAGATGACATTAGTAGTAATGGACTTCGCGCATATTCCCTAGGATAAACCTTAGGAATGAATGAATGAAGGATAGCTGATTCTTAGGGTAGATCCTTAAGAATAAAGAAGATAATGGGGATGGATAATTGGGTTGAATGTTTGATGTTTAAACATAATAACTGTATTATTATGGGTTGAAAACCCTATGTACTCACCAGGTTTCCCAACCTGACCCACTCAGTTTATTTGTATCACAGGTGTCGATATAAAGTTGCACTACACTAAGAGATTAAAGAGATGTAGATCACTAGTGTAAATGAATGTAAGTTTTGTTTATGCTTATGTTTCTGTATTGACGTTGACATCCCAAAGTTTAAAATCAATAGAATACATTTCTTCGGAAATGATTTATCATGTTTTTCTGGGAACAA